TCAGGTTCGAGTCCTCGCTTTTCGTCGCTTCCTACTTCTCGCAGGGCTACGGTGTAGGTATTCAACACCACCTCCATCTCTGCTACATAGCCCAACCGGTTAATGCTGTTTAGGGAAACAGTCGCTGTTTATTGTGAGAACCATACGGAACACACAGATATATATAAACTCAGTTCGTACCTCACAGGAAACATATTACGTCTCCGCTACAAGCCCAACCGGTTAATGCGGTTTAGGGAAACAGTCGCTGTTTATTGTGAGAACCATACGGAACACACAAATACACTCTGTGGGCAGAATGCTGACTTTCAGTATGTTAAAGCATGTGGTACATATTGTGACCACTCGGAAGATACTGTATTTTGCGTAAGATAAATGGATTCGTAGAAAGTTGGAGAAAATTTAACTACCAGTACTTTATACTGTGTATCGTACTTTTTACCAAATAATATTAGGATTATCAAATCAAGGAGGATAAAGTAGGCTAAATCCGTAGGTCGCACTGGGAAAAGATAATATCTATAGAGTTTTAATCGAAATAATCCGAAAAGAAGAAAGAAGTTTGGAGATTTCATCACAGAGGGAAGGATAATATTAAACGAGATTATGAGGTATGTGAGCTTATGTACGTGACCCGTTTGACTCAGGATAGTTTCCGGCTTTTGTAAAGACTAAAAAATCTCCAGGTTCATTAAAAGCCGTGTCAGATCTTGAGAACCTAAACAGTTACCAGCTTCGTAAGAATGACTCTGCTTCAAGGAGTCAGAAATGTGTTTTGGCGGCCACTCGGGAGAAAGGGTGGCGCACTGCTCGCTACAGCTGGGGACGCACGAGTGCTCAGACGTCTGAAATTACACCTGCCACATCTCGTTCCGCTGTCGGTCGTATATGTTTCCCCGCGGCCATGTTGCTTTGTTCCGATTTCTGAACGATTTGTCTCGAAAATAAATGTCCTTAAATTCCCTTACAGGGTTGCACAGTGCTTTCATGTTCAATTCATTTTAAAATTTCCAAATATCAGTCATATAACAAACTAACTCCATGTGCGTAGATTCTAAAGGGTTCTGACGATGGTGAATGACACACAGAATTACTGGGGTTTTGAACTTTTCCATCGTCTGGAATTTTAGGTAATAGTGGACACGACGTTTCGGAAACTGGATCTATCGTGTCCTCTATTACCTAAAATTCGGGACGATGGAAAAAGTCCAAAACCCCAGTAATTCTCTGTAACTCCATGTAGATGAGAATTTCTTGAGAAGCCATCAGTTGCGCATCTACACAAGAATTTCTCAACAACAGAATGCTCATCACTGTGTTCACAAGGGCCCACCACCGGTCTCTGTTCTGAGCCAGACTAATCCAGTCCGTCCTTAGCTTGGGTCGTTTATCCAAAGAGTCTGTCCAAGTCCCAGGCATGTTGTGACATTTCGTAACAGAATTATTTGTTTATGGTGAGGAGTTGTTAGCCTCACGACCTGCCCCAAAGTTGGAGGACCACCCCTTGCAGGTTGTCCATGACTGCTTATTCATTATATTCGTAGCTACCCTCCATATCTGGAGGCCGTCACCTCCATCCTCCCCCCAAAAAGAATTAGTGTCCTCTTCTCTTCTCTTCTCTTCTCTTCTCTTCTCTTCTCTTCTCTTCTCTTCTCTTCTTCATTATGATTCGGAGTGTTAAAGCAGGTGGTGCTGGTTAAAATTATGGACTGTTTATTCCTGAATGAATTTTCTTCTGAGGCACAATCAGGCTAAAGTGTCGACCGCCCTGCAACATGGCGTAAGTCCGCTTCAATTCTACACTGTCTAGGGGACAAGTCTTTAGTTTTATGCAGTAATGGGGAAGGACGTAAAGAGCGTTACAAAATAAAGTGTCAGGGGTAAACGTTCTGTGAATATTCTGACTGATTATTCGATTTTATCTGAGTGGGCACTGGCGGGGAGAAGGGGGACTTACGTAACGGAGAACATATGTTTTTATCATAATTGAATCAAGGGAAATTAAGATTGGATGGACATATAACTTCGGAGAAGTAAGTAATTATTCAGGTCCAAAACATCAGGAGCAGGTTGGCTTAGCAGTAAGGCTCTAGCCCTGTATTCGGGCAGATGCTCGGTTCAAATCGGGACACCGGCTACCTTGAGTTTTTTCTGTTGATTTCCTCAGTCCCTCCAGGCTGCCGGGATAATATCTTGGTTAGGCCACGACCTTTTCCTTCTATGTCCTCACCATTTCATCAGTTATCCTAGCATTGTATGTTACATACACGTAGTCCAGATACTAAAGGCACGGTAAGACACAATTCCCTTCTTCTCATGCTCATCCTTCTTCCTCGACCTTGACATGGCCGTCACAATTGTGCATTCATGGTGTCAATGGGATAATTCTTCATCCATATTTTAGCTTTTTAAACGTCATGTCAACGCTGCTCTATTATCAACTGGTTACACGTTACATTTCGCCCCTCCCTTTACTTCCTTCTTCGCTTTTCATCTCTCATACATTTTTATGCTCTTTTCTCCTTCATTCTCCTTTCTCTCCCAAATCGAAGCCATGTACGTCACGAAAATCACAATCGAATTGACGTGATGCTCTGCTCTTTCATTTGTTACAATGCAGTGCTGCTGTAGCGAAAGAAAATTGAACTTCGTTCTAAATTCCCCCGGCCTGGCTGCAAGATTGCAGAGCTCCTGCATGTATCTGCCCAGCCTCTAACGGCTACAAGGACCAGCGTTGTGGGAGGACTGTTCCTAGTAGACATCTCTTATTGCTGACTCTACAGCCCTTTTCTGGGGGATCAGCCCGTCGCTAGGCCGCTACCTGTACACAAGACATCACAAACAAAGAATAAACGCAAACAAACATCCTTGCATCAAGTAGGATTCGAACCCACTATCCCAGTGTTTGAGCGGGCAAAAACAGTTCACGCCTTAGACCGCGCAGCCACTGTGATCGGCCATTGCGGACAATAAATCGATTTAAATCGATAGGAAAATCAAGGTTTCTTAATTCCCGATGGAATTTCAAGAATATCTTTAGCATATGTTATTTATTTATAATTGTGATGTTGCAAGTGGCTTAAGACCTTGAAATATAAGCACACCGACTGTACCTTCCTTCAGTTTCTGAAGCTAGTAAATTATCATATACCTTCGGGTTCCATAAAATGCTGGGAAATTCTTGAGTAGCTGCAGAATTGGCGGCTCCTCCAGAAGGGCTCAGCTCCATGAGTAAGTAAATATACATATACTGTATATATGTAATGTATCGGTGAACTGAAAATGTTTCAATTGATTGCAATACGCATATAAAATCTAATGATTCTGTTTCTAACAAAACTACGTGTATAATGAAGAGTCTTATTACATTCAGATATAAACACAGAATAGAGTCCTTCTGGAGAAACTAATAGTCGCTCAGTTGGACAAGAAATTCCTTGTCTTCATTAATATGTTCACAAGAGACCGTCATCATACCCTGTCTTGAGCCAGTTGAATCTGTTCTACACCCCTCATACACTAGTCCTTTCATGTAAATTTTAGGTATCGTTTAATCTAGCCCTAAGTCTTCTAAGTTTACTCTCCAATTCAAATTTATTGATTAAAATTGTGTATGAATTTTTCATCGCCACCATGTCTGCAAAATGTTCCGCCGTTCATATCCTCCTTGATTGAATCGTCCTAATAATGAATCTGCTTGGTGAAGAATACAGATTCTGAAGATTTCTTTGTATAATAATTTCCATATTTGTTTTACTTCCTCCCTCGTAGGTCCGGATATTCTCCTCAATACTCTGTTCAGAAGCATCCTCAGTCTTACGATGAAAGACAAACGTTAATACCCATAGAAAATGACGGGTAGAACAATAAGTGTGTTTTCAAAATTTCAAAAAAACTTAGTTGCTTTTTTTTTAGATACGGATTTGTATACCCCTGTTAAAATGAGTGTAACGGAGTGTATCGGACTGCATGGTAAACCACAGTGGAACTTCTGCACGTGACCCTCGGACGAGGTCAGGACCTTTGAGAACCTTGCATGTTATCCTTAAGAAACCCGAGACGATGCGCGCGCACTTTCACGCCCTCCAGTGATAAAAGTCGCGATTATTCATCTGTGACACTGATTTCAGCGGGATAAATAAGTTCAACATCAATATTAGAAATTTCAGCGTCAAATAGTTCCCCGGTCAGTGAAACTCAGTTCTGAAGTCTAATGTGTCATATGTTATATTTGAGGTTATGACAACAATGACTGTGAACAGTGCTAGCGTCTGGGATTGACTCCATATACCAACGTTTTGGAGAAGCGTATTGCATACGCCTTCAGTGCCAAAGAGCAAACCAAACGAACATCCAGCAAGAAACAGGTGGCTTTACTTTTGAACCCTCAAGAGGGAGGAAGTGCATTCTGATTAACTTCACTGCTTCACATCCATGAAGACAACACTCTTTTAAACAGTTTCTTGTTAAAATTGTAAAGGGTTTTATGCTATTTAGATATTAAATAATTATCGCAGCAATTTATGTCCGCCTGATTATGAACTTCCTTAAAGCGGCACACACTGATTCACAGACCACATGAGATGAATTGTCAGTTCGATTCAAAGTAGCGTAGTTGTTGAAGTTCATGAACATTCATAAGCACAGACAATTCTTTTGACATAATTAATAAAAGACGCCTATTACCAAACTTTTCTTTTGTTGCTAGTGGGGTGGGACTAAGTCCCTTGTACTGCGGCCACTTCTGGCCTATTGTACCAGCCCCAGATGATAGGTGAGGGTGATTGTGGAGCAATTGGTGGAATAAAGACTGGCAGGGGAAACCGAAGTACTCGGAGAAAACCTACCTCAGCGCCACTTTGTCCACCACAAATCCCACTTGACCAGACCCGGGATCGAACCCGGGCCGCCGCGGTGGGAAGCCAGCGACTAACCGCTTGAACTATGGCGCGGCCTTTTTACCAGACTTAGTTGATCCATAATATATGTCTTTGTTACAGAGTATAGTGTGGGGGCGGGCGTTCGAAGTCAGAGGCGAAGCGGCATTACCATACCTGGACACAAGAGAGTGCCAACTGGGTGGCTACCACGTGCAACTAACATCTTTCTTCCCACATAAATTAGCACATCGTTTGGATTCCGACAGCACCAGTGGCCCACAACCCACATCATTCCCTGCACTGTTCTATGTCGCGACACCATCCAACAGATTGTGGCTGGGTGACGCACCTCTAACAGAAATCGCTTCTCAGATTGTAGAGTGCAGTGGGCCCAGTGGTCATAATGTGGAGTACTTGCTGCGTCTTGCAGGCTTCATGCACGAGTATTTGCCTGAAGCTGTGGATGAACACTTGTTCACACTGGAGTTTCTGGTGAGATCAAGGATAAAAGAACAAAATCTGTGCTTAAAGACACTGATGGGAGACTCTCTGATGCCTGCTTCGCCTCCAGCAACACCCCCACATGAACTGGAAGACGCCGATGAAAACAATGCTATTGGCGGTGACCCTGCAGTCAGACCAGACTCGTTCCAATTCACTTCACGAGTGCCCCCAAAGAAACTCCGTTGCCTCAATATTTGATTTTTTGCCTTCTATACTTGCGGGAAAATACTCCGTGACCTTCAAATTTAGGTCATAATTAAACATAGAGACAAATATCACCAAAGATGGCACTATGTGTCAGTTCTGATTAATTTTGTCTGATGACTTTTTAATGCTGTATTATTCTGGAATATGATTCTTGATACCTACTGCATGAGTAAGTTTAGAACATACTAGACTGAAAACCTGGCAGGTCGATCTCATTCTTGAGTATTATCTAGGACTTCAGCTGCTCACTTGCCTGGACATCTTGCTGAAGGAAATCTGATATTCGTGATGTATATAGGTAATCATGAACCTTATGAGCAGAACCAGCTTCATGGCACCGTTGAATGGGACTCATGTAAAGAAGATTACAAAGATTGATTCCAAGAAGTTGTTTTCATTGGTGTGCCTGTGGGGATACAGGCTCAGGCAGTGGACTCATCATTGCCTCCTCACATCTGTCTTGCCTGATGGGTGTCGAGAAACTATGGGTTTCAGGTTTGTGCCATATCAAAACTGGGAGTTGGATGTCACCAAAGAAACCACAAAATATAAACTCTCATTAACTTCATGCAATGAGTCTGAACCACATTTACACGAATCTGTGAAGATGCAAGTAATGTCCACTAAAAAGACGGAAGGAAAGTTTAATCTTTGTTGAAACTTGATGATAATGATTCTTGAGAAGTAAAGTTTCCTTCTAGATTGTAAAACAGAGAACCGCCTCCAATCCAGAATGTGAAATAAATAAAATTGAATATACTACTACTAATAAAGTAACAAAATAACTGCATAACGCAGTTAATGGAGCTTCTTCCATGGTTTTCACTTTCAAGCAGAAATTTGGAAAATGTAAATAAACGGAGCAAACTCTTCCATAAAGCTGCAGATTTAATCACACAGTAAAGAAATATAAGGATTTCTCCCATTGGTGTTTGTCCTGCAAACTGACTGTGCTGATATTCCAGTTGGACCAAAGAATTTGCTTGTTTCATTGATGTGAATAAAGTATGATTTATTTTAATATTACTGTTTTATGGGGTGTGAGCCATGTAGTCTGACAGAAAGGTACCAGCTTTGTAGACAAACCTCCTGCCTCTGTCTTCAGGGCAATAAATATCCTCAGATGGAGGCATCAGGTTCATCCAAAATGTCAGTAGATACCTAGCTCCCAGACTACAAGATATAACATCCTATGTGAGAGCCATCATCATGCTTGCCATTGTAAGAACATCAAATCTCACATGTGTCTTATCTGTCATAGATATTAAAAAAATGCTGCACCCGAGTTGAAATGAACATCTGAAGACAGAAAGATTCAGTGGAGAGTGCTACAAATGTAACTGAAATTACCAAAGATGTATTTAATATACTGAAATATATTTTCTTTTATTTATTTGTTTGATCATAAATCAGAATATACATTCTATAAGCTTATATTATGGCTGTTTAGATGACTTGATGAGGAGTCGTCCAGCGGCAAATCCTCAATAATTCAAATCAGGTCAATTGGCCAGTTTCGTTTGAGTTGTCTGTTGTCCACTCTTGTCGATAGCATCTTTAGGAGTGGGTTTTTGTGAGTTATGATTTTGTTGTGATGTCTTTTGCTTTTTTGTTGGATGACATCTTGTACGGAAGTTATACCGAGATCGGTGTGGAGAGTTGCGTTGGAGACATACCCTGGTGCGTCGACTGTCATTCGTAGGATCTTAGATTGGCTTCTTTGGATTATTGCAATATTAGATTTGCTGGCACAGCCCCATAATTCCAGGCCATACGTCCAAATAGGTATGATTATAGTCTTATAGATCAGAATTTTATTTTCAACTGTTAGTTTTGATTTTTTTCCTATCAGCCAGTTTAACTGTTTAATGGTTAAGTCTACTTGCTTTCATTTCTTGACTACATGCTGCTTCCATGTTAATTTGCTGTCTGTAGTCATACCTAGGTATTTTATTTCTGCTCTGAGTGGTATTTGGATATCATTGATGTATATGTTAGGTGCCGGCTTTTTTCGTAGAGTGAAAGTTTTGTATAGTCTTGTTTTCATTTATTCTGATACGCCACTTCTAGAACTAATTTTGTAATGATCTAAGGTGATGCTGAAGGTCTGTTGCTGCTCTTTCTGGGTCATACTGATATTTAAGAAGCCTATGGTAATAATAACTGATGATGTAAATCTACTGGGAAATAAAACAGATGTCGAAAACTAAAACACAAAAATTTTAACTGACCTTAGTAAGGATAGAAGTAAACGCAGAGAAAACTAAGCATATGTTGCTATCTATTCACCAGAATGCAGGGAAAAATCATGACATAAAGATAGCTAACAGAACCTTTGAACATGTGGCACAGTTCAAATATTTGGGAACAACAGTATCAGATCAAAGTTTGATTCAGGAGGAAATTAAGGGGAGAGTGAATTTGCGTATTGCTTGCTACAATTCAGTCCAGAACCTTTGGTCTTCTTGTCTGCTGTATCAAAACATAAAATCGGGATACACAAAATTATAATTTTGCTGTGGTTCTGTATGGGTGTGAAACTTGGTTTAAGGGAGGAACGTAGACCGAGGGTGTTTGAGAACAGAGTGTTGAGGAGAATATTTGAACCAAAGAGAGATGAAGTGATGGGAGATTGGAGAAAACTGCATAATGAGGAGCTTCATAACTTGTACTCTTCTCCAGATATAATTAGAATGATGAAGTCAAGGAGGATGAGATAGGCATGGCATGTAGCACACATGATAGAGAAGGGAATGTGTACAGGATTTCTGTGGGAAAGCCAGAATGAAAGAGACCACTAGGAAGACCAAAACACAGGTGGATTGATAATATTAAATTGAATCTTAGAGGGGTAGGATGGGGTGGTCCGAATTAGATTGATCTGACTTAGAATAGGGACCAGTGGAGATTTCTTGTGAACACAGTAATGAACCTTCAGGTTCCATAAAATGTTGTGAAATCCTTGAATAGCTGCACAACTGGTGGCTTTTCAAAAAGGGCTCAGCTCCATGGAGTTAATTAGTTAGTGGCAATAATATGTTTCACAGTTAACACAAGTAGAGATAATAATGCATTAAATTAATATGTTCCTTGTAAAGCAAATAAGTCGCAATAATTCGTTTAAGTCTGTTACTTCAGTGTGTGAATTTATCTTGAGGGGCCTGTAAGTGAAAATATGAATCTGAAGGTACACCATATTATATGAAAATAAGTTAACGAAGTTTCATGTACCTCATTGTGTTCTGATGTCTGCTTATACAACCTGCAGAGAGTTTTATTTCCTGTGCAGGAGAATAGGTTTGTCAAAATTGTGAAGTAAATTGGTCCCATTATCCATCATGGCTATTGTGAAAAATAATAATTCCATGGACAATGTGAAAAATATTCATAAAATAAAGCATGAAGATGTGGCAGCTATAAAAGCATACATAAAATCCATCTGCTGTTTTGCAAAACAAAAGACCTGTGTCAGTATGTTTGCATTTTCTACTGGTGTATGAATGTCAGAAGTATATTGAACACACTCATAGAATCTAGGAACTATCTAATTATGACATAATGGTCCATGTCGCTGACATAGTAGACGAATTGTGGTACAAAGTATTTATATCATGAAACAGTGAACTTTTCATAACAATATTTTGTCACTCTGTGTGTTGAATATTGTAAAGAGACAGTTACATACAAAGGAATAAGGAAAGGGATATTTATAGAAACTGCTTCAGAAGAATATAGCCCTACATATTTTTTTTTTTTGTATTTTTAAGTTCTTGTTTATTTAAGACAATATATTTATGTTATACTAGGGGCCCCATTACCCATTATCCAGACATAATATCATAACATCCAGTACTGAAAAGATATGTATGTATAGATTTCGAGAAGTTCTTTTAAATAAACATTTTCATGAAAATGATGACAGGGAGGCTATTTTTGGCAGGTCCATCCACCAGCAGAATAAGCAATATCTGCTGCCAAAATGTGTAAGGCTGTGTTGGCTCGCTATGTGACCATATTCTTATGCAAAAACATTTTTATTATATAGAGAGATTACTTACTTACTTACTTACTCACTCACTTATGGAGTTGAGAGATTTGTGAAGAAAACCGCTTGAAATCAGTACCTCTGTTACTAAATCTTAAAGAATATTCTAAAGTGGTTAAATGTGTATCAGACTTTAGGATTGCTAGGGTTCTGGACTTTAACCTATCATCTAGGATTTCAAACAGAACATAAGGTTTTGGAAACTTGGTCTCTTCCAGGCCTCAGATGAAAAGGTGGTGAGGCATCTGAGTCCAGTGACTGTGATCAGTTCTGTGTAATGAATCAAAGTGAGTAGTTCTTCCCAATGTTTTCACCTGAGCAGAAAAACAGATCCAGTTTCCAAATTTTGCATCATGTTGGAAATACTAAATGATGGCCAAAGTCCAGAAACACTATAGTCCTACTTATAACATGTATTATTTTCTCCCTGAAGGGTAATAAACTTCATGATATTTAAAATTATGACTAATACTTTATGTGTTTAGAAATATTCTTCATATAATTTAAACATCGTCTAGTTACCTATTACAATTCTATAAGCAAACGTAAACCACCCATTATGCACTTTCAGTATATATCGTAACACATAATAAAACAATCAAGTTAGCATCATGGCAAGAAAATGTATTATTACAAAATAATCATTTGTTACACTTCAAATAAACCTCAGCAAACATCTCATCTTCAAGTTTATATACACATGCCATTGCACTTAAATGCATGATATTCAATCTCCATTCTGCATGAGCAGGTCTTGTATGGAGAGCTAGAACAGCTGAGTCAGTACGTCTAGTCTACGAGCTGGAGGACCAGGATCGGGGTTCAATTCCTGGTGGGAACAGAGAATTTCCTCTTTGCCGGAGTGTGCAGATCTTCTCTGAGGCTCACCTGGCTTCCTAATGAATGGGAGGCTCTTTCTCTAGGGTTGATGGAGATTGGTCTTGAAGCTGACTACTCACCTCTAATTAGTGCTGAGGTTAAGAATGAGTGGACCTATACCTCTACTCCCTTTATGTCTTCATGGTGTAGTGCATGATTAAGCATAGAGGTAACATTGTCTCGGCCTTACTTGTATTACAAACTGCTGACCGAAGATTTAGTGCTTCAACGAATAAATTATTCTGCTCAGATAACTGAGTAATTTTCTTGTGATGTATCTCCCTTGTTCACCTCTTGGTTACTAGATGACAGCATATTTGATAACCATTCCTATGCACACAAATACACATAATGCGCTTGTCTAATGACTGTGATATACTATGCTTACTTATATAGTTAAGAAAATTTTCCGCATTAATGGAGAAATAACCAGTTTCCCTTATACAGCTTGTATATTATTGATTAATGTAGGAATATTTATAGGAACATGTAAGCCAATTATTAGCATTTAGAGCAAACGGTTATGTTGAGTAAGGGGTACGCAGTAGCGTAGTTTCCAGTTGATATCATTGGATTTTTCCATTGAATTAAATTTTCCAGCCGCACTATGGCCCTGGGGTTGACACAGAAGTGTGTGCCAGGAATCCTCCTGGGGGTAAAGGTGCGGCCGGAGCATAAGGCTGACAACCTCACCGCCATCCGTGACCCAACTGTCTAGAAAATGTGGGAGCCTCGACGTCTCACAACCCTATGGGCCTCCACAGCCTGTTACAGGGATAGTTTTACCTTCTTTTATGTTCAGTAGTGTTAACAGATATATAATTAATAGTTTACGCGAAGAATATTTTTTTTCTGGATTGTAATGACACGTAATCTGGTAGGAGTTTACCGACGTTTCCGAGAAATGTACTGCTTCCATCTTTAAGGGTTCCCCTGTACTGCGACCACTTTTGGCCTATTGTACCAACCCCAGATGATAGGTGAGGGTGATTGTGGAGCAATTGGTGGAATGAAGATTGGCAGGGGAAACCGAAGTACTCGGAGAAAACCTGTCCCAGCGCCACTTTGTCCACCAGAAATCCCGCTTGACCAGACCCGGGATCGAACCCGTGCCGCCGCGGTGGGAAGCCAGCGACTAACCGCTTGAGCTACGGTGCGGCCTTTCTTTAAAGTTGGTTAGTAACCTAAACGTGTAACCAGAGAGTAGAGGATAGGGACGCCTGACTTAACGATAGTCTCTTTAGCGCAAACCATGTCACTGTTAGTTGTCACCCTTCAGGGAGTCTGACTTTTAGTGTAGTGAATTAATATTTTATTTTATTACGTTCTGCAATGTTAGGCACATGAAAGGCTCAAGTAACGGTGTTATTTAATTCAAATTGTTTGTGTTAAGTATTTTTTTTTTTTTTCATTGGCGCTACAGCCCTCATTTGGGCCTAGGCCTCCCTCCATGAAACTCTCCGTTTCAC